ATTACATTTAAAATATTCCACCTTCAGAGTTGTAGAGGCCTTACACTATTATATCCTCCAGCATTACTACTGTTAGTCTGTCTTTCCACCTCCAGTCTCTTGTGCCAATCCATCCCAAACATAATAGTTACTGATTGGCCGGGCGTGGTAGCTCATGCCTGTAATCCCAGCACTTTGGGAGGCCAGGGTGGGCAGATCAGCTGAAGTCAGGAGTTCGAGACCAGTCTGGCCAAAGAGACCAGCCTGGCCAACATGGTGAAACCTTGTCTCTACTAAAAATACAAGTATTAGCCAGGCGTGGTGGTGGATGCCTGTAATCCCAGCTACTCAGGAGGCTGAGGCAGGAAAATTCCTTGAACCCAGGAGGCGGAGGCTGCGGTGAGCTGAGATCGTGCCATCGCACTCCAGGCTGAGTGACACAGCAAGACTCTGACTTAAAAAAAAAAAAGTTACAGATTCACCTCCCCCAAAATAGCTTATGACACTTCTCCGTTCAAAACATTAAAACTTACAGACTGAAACCCAAATCAACAGTTTGGGAATTCAAGGCTTCCTATTATTTACTGATAGATCTCATTTCTGTTTATTCCCAACAAGTTTAACTTACTGAACTCTTTGTTTTAGTCATTGATTTTAAGAAGTACAAGTGATACAACATAGCAGCCCCCCCTCCTTTTTTGTTTTTAAAAAAAAGAGGGAGTCTTGCTCTGTCACCAGGCTGGAATGCTGTGGCAAGATCTCAGCTCACTGCAACCTCCAACTTCTTCGTTCAAGCCTCAGCCTCTCGAGTAGCTGAGATTACAGGCACGTGCCACTATGCCCAGCTAATTTTTGTATTTTTAGTAGAGATGGGGTTTCATCATGTTGGCCAGGGTGGTCTCAATCTTCTGACCTCGTGATCCGCCCACCTTAGCCTCCCAAAGTGCTGGGATTACAGGCATGAGCCACTGCGCCTGGCCAACCTTTTTAAGGGCAAAAGAGTTACTGCAGTAAATGTGAATCTCAATTTTAAGATATATTCCAGCCATAATTCAACTAAGCTGACAGCCCTTTAAAAACATAGTAATTGGGCTGGGTGCAGTGGCTCACGCCTGTAATCCCAGCACTTTGGGAGGCCGAGGCGGGCGAAATCCCCTGAGGTCAGGAGTTTGAGACCAGCCTGGCCAACGTGGTGAAACCCTGTCGCTACTAAAAATACAACAATTAGCCAAGTGTGGTGGTGCATGCCTGTCTGTAATCTCAGCTACTCAGGAGGCTGAGGCAGGAGAATTGCTTGAACCTGGGAGGTGGAGGTTGCAGTGAGCCAAGATCGCGCCACTGCACTCTAGCCTGAGCAACAGGGAGACTCCACCAAAACACACACACACAAAACACAGTAACTGGGCCGGGTGCAGTGGCTCATGCCTATAATCCCAGCACTTTGGGAGGCCGAGGCAGGTGGATCACTTGAGGTCAGGAGTTCAAGACCAGCCTGGCCAACATGGTGAAACCTCGTCTCTACTAAAAATGCAAAATATAGCTGGGCATGGTGGTGTATGCCTGTAACCCCAGCTACTAGGGAGAATGAGGCAGGAGAATCGCTTGAATCCGGGAGAAGGAGGTTGCAGTGAGCCGAGATCGCACCATTGCACTCCGGCCTAAGCAACAGAGGTGTTTCTCCACCTCAAAGAAGAAACAAAAAAAACTGAATGAGTTCCCTCAAGTGTGTTTTATATTTGGTTCTGGAATGCAGTAGAGATCATTTAAGATGTAGGTAAGGAAAAAATATTAATCACTTGTTTTGTGTGTTCTGTACTCACAATAAATGTGAACTGTCATGTAACAGTATTAGAACATAATTTACATGTTAACTTCTTTGCTCTGTCATTAGAAAGTAAGCTCCATGAAGGTAAGGGCTTTGTTTTGCTTACTAACGCAACCTGGCTGCCCTGAACAATACGGTGGGCACTCAAAAATGCTCTTGAATAAATCTGCCTGGAAAACCGAGCAATTCAAGGTGACAGAAGGCAAGATGGTTGCTCATCAGCAAATACCACTGAGGTCATGTAGTAAGCAAGGAGCCATGTGAGACACAGAAAGCAACCTAGTCAGAAGGAATGGTGTGTGTCTCCAACTCTGGCAGAACTCCAGCTTTCTGCTAGATCTAGTACATGGTCTATTTCCCAAAGTAAACTAATTTCTCTGTCTTATTTTTCATGCAGCTTAATTTTGTGTCAGGATGATTCTGTTTTAGAAACTGGCATTGGAACAAAAGGATATTTAGTTTTATGCCTATCCCTTGCCTAAGCTACCTTTTATAAGGACATTCAAAGCTACATTTGTTCTTAGGCATCGATCAAAAGAAGGTTTGCTACTTCACATATTAAAAAACGAAATCCAGGAGGGCACCACATACTTCAGAAAATTTTTATACGACTCCTAGATGTCATGCCACAGTGGCTGGTAAACTGCCAAAACAGAGGAAGGGTGCTTTATTTTCATGTAGTGTTTTGTTTTTTGTTTTTTTTTTAATGTAAAAGCATTCTGTGTTAAATTCATCAAGGAATTGACAAAAAGCTACTTTCCTACACTTGACAGTAATATGTTTTCTGACATTCCTGTTATCAATTCCTCTGAAAATCATTTAGACATATACGACTATTAGTTAAAAAAAAAAAAAAACTGAGACTGAAATGCCAACATGAAAACCCTGCCAAATCCTTTACTCTTTTCTATTTCTGCCATTTTGATATTTCAAGTAGAGTCCAAGGAATAGACAGGAAGAAATGGTATCGCCTGACAGTCAATTCTAACAATTCTTTCCTTTAAGGAGAACATGGCAAACTTACACAGTACAACTGCATACGAGAACCAAACAAAGGAAGTACTGAAAATTCACCACGCAAATACTAATTGTTCAGCAATTCTCTCATCTCCCTTGTCATTAGCAAATACATTGCTAGTGGCTCCCTTAAGAAAAATTCCCATTCTCTGTTCTCTTTTACAGCAACGTTCTTTGAAAGTGTTATCTACAATCGTTCCCTCAATTCCTTCTGTGGCTTTCTCTCCTGAATCCACTCCAACCAAGCTTTCATTCACCCTTCTCCCTCTACCAAAACTGCTCACCAATGTCTGCAACAACCCCGCCCCACTAAATTCAATGGTCTCAATTCTCAGTCTTCATCTTACTGGTCCTGTCTGTAGCAACTGTCACACACAATCCAATCCCTCCTCCTCCTTCTCCGAAACACTTTCTCCACTTGCCTTTCACATACCACACTCTCTTCATGCCACACTCTCTTGGTTTTTCTTCTACTTTATTGGTCACTCCCTTCCCAATCCTTTCTTCATCTTTCACAGGAATGAGGAGGAATACCTAAGCTCTGGAATACCTCAAAGGACTAACCTGTATACTTCTTCTCTATCTGAGCTCTCCAGCACTCTCTATCCCCCTCTACTGCATTTCTCTCTCCAGGATTTTTTTTTTTTCAGATGGAGTCTCACTTTATCATCCAGGCTGGAGTGCAGTGGCGCGACCATGGCTCAGCAGTGTCAACCTGGTGGGCTCAAATGATCCTCCCGCCTCAGCCTCCTGAGCAGGTGGACTACAGGCACTCGCTACCACAGCTGGCTTTTTGTTTTTTTAGACATGGGGTCTCATTATGTTGCCCAGACTGGTCTCAAACTCCTGAACTCAAGTGATCCTTCTTCCTCGGCCTTCCAAAGTGCCAGGATTACAGGTAGGAGCCACTGTGCCTAGCCTCTCTCCAAGATTTAATGCTATAGGACACATTGCAGAGTTAATGTATTATTTTCTTTCTCTTAACAACGAGAACATTTCACAGGGTAAGCAGTTTTGCCTGTTTTGTTTAGTGTTGTATACCCAGTGACTAGACAGATTTAGCTCGTTGCAGGAAGCCAATAAATATTTGTTGAAAGAATGAATGAACAACAAAAATGGTAACAGTAACAACCACTTTGTACTAGGAACTTACCAACCAGACATTCCAATAAGCATATTACATACATTTCACTTAATCCTCAAACAACCTTATGAGATCTCTGAGGCTTTGGAGAGGAGTGGAAATCGGGGTGGTTAACATGCACCAAATTACCAAACTACTAAGTGGTAGTACCATGATTCAAACCCAAGTTTATCATCTTCAAAGATAATGCTCTTAATTCCTGCACAGTACCATTTTACTGAGTATTATTATTTCATTAGTTGTGGAATAAAGTCAACTGCTATTTGAAGAGTCAGCAATCTAAAATTCCCTGCAGTTGTGAATTAATCTCCATTTCCTTTGTGAAGACAAACTTTTTTTTAGTAACATCAATTTAAAAACTTTAGTGAAGATTCCTTTTTTTTTCTGAAGCAGGGTCTCACTCTGTCACCCAAGCTTAAGTACAGTGGCACAAATACAGTTCAAAGCAGCCTCAACCTTATGGGTTCAAGCAATCCTTCTGCCTCAGCCTCCTGAGTAGCTGGGACTACAGATGTGCACCACCATGCTTAATTTTTAAATATTTTGTAGAGATGAAGGTCTCACTATATTGCCCAGGCTGGTATTCAATTCCTAGGCTCAAGTGATCCTCCCAAAGTGCTGGGATCACAGGCATGAGCCGCTGCGCATGGCCAAGATTCTTTTTTAGGGCAAAGGATTCTATACTGCCATTTTCAGTGGCAACAATGAAGGTGAGAGGGCACACTATTCTCCTTCAAAGTGTTAATGGCAGTTCTTAAACTTTCAATCTCTCCCACTTCTATTAAAAAGCTCAAGACAGTGGTTTTCAAAACTAGCTGCAGAGTCACCTAGGAGCTTTGTGTTTTCTGAAAACAAGATTCCAACACCCAACTCCAGAGCAAACAGGGCCCAGAAACCCAGCATTTTATAAAGCTCCCCAGAAGACCTTGGTGGTTAGTCAAGTTTAGAAAACACCAAAGTTGGCAAGAGACTAACTCTCTATCTGAGCATCTGGCTCACTGCTTGACAATGACCAACTCTCTCATCTGTACCGACCTTCTTGGAAAGAGGAACAATGCTGTTGGGTCGAACAAGCCTCCGTTTCTTACAGCTCAGTACAGGACGTGTCCGGGCTGCCACACAGGTGCCATCAGATGATGAAGAGACTAGATTCAGTCGTTGCTTTTTATGTAATTGTTCCTCAGCATCAGAGCTGTCACCTGGAATGTGGTCTGCCAAGACAGGCTGAAGACTATACAAGGGGAAGGAAGAGTATTCTCAGAACACACAAATAAACAAAATAAATAAACAACAGCAACAACAAGAAAACACAAACAAAGCCTCTTATACTGGTTCAACCTCTATTTGCTAATGTTCAGACACAAAGAAGCATTCTAGAGCAGAAGCAGGTCTCCTCCTGATGTCTGCTAATCTACCTGTGTGCGCTTATGTGTAAGGCTCTTGGTGCACATTAACTACATCATGTATGAAAGGCAAAAAAAGTCAGTAAATAAACTCAAGTTCTAGTGATTGAGTTCTCCTCTACAACAAACACATGAGTAAATAAAGTCTAGAGAACTACAACTGGTTAGAAAATGATGAATTCTGCAAATGTTAATGGGCTTCCTTAGGATCAGTTCTATGAATCTTGAATTTTAGGGGTGTTGTACACATCATTCACTTGTATAGGATCTCCCTGAATATTTTTTTTTCTCCCTTGAATCTTAATAAATATAGATTTACAAATATAGCCTTTGGAGATCTAATCTGTCCTAGAGCAGAGGAGGTTAATATAAACACTTCCGAGGAATTCCTGTAAGATTAAAACAATAATAATTCACAATAACTGTAGTGTCTTTTATTTTACTCCATGCCCATTCCATTTTAGTAGGTAAAAGGAAAATACACAATTAATTAAAACACATTGCTTCATTATACAGTGAAGATTAAAAATGTTACTAAGTGATAAGGCTTCCGCTTCTTTAAACCAGGGTCAGTCCTGGCTAGCTAAAGAAAACTAAGAGCTCCAAAACACCTTTACAAGTCTAAGAGTAGGAAGTAGAAGAGCTAAAACTTACGTGTTAATAACTCCATTGACAGGTCTGAGTGCTCCACATGATTTGGTAGACAGTGACTCTGAAACATGACCAATAATAGGGGGACCATGGTTTTCCAATGGCTGAGAAAAAGACTCAATCTGAGTAAGAAAAAGGAAAAAAAAAAATTAACATGAACCCAACAGCACCCCTGCTTGAAAAGCACCACCACTTCATTTGCACAAAGCACCTAAAACTTCTGATGACCAATTTGAAAACCAAAACTTGAATGACTGAGGAAAAAGAAAATAAGAGAATCAGTGGCCAGGTATGGTGGCTCACAACTATAATTGCAGCACTTTGGGAGGCCAAGGCAGGAGGATTGCTTGAGACCAGGAGTTTTGAGACCAGCCTGGGCAACACAGTGAGAGACAGAGAGAGACGAGAGAGAGACAGAGACAGAGAAAGATGAGAGAGAGAGAGAGGAAGAGAGAGAGAGAGAGAGAGAAGGAGAATATGACATTAGCTTTGCTTTGGGAGAAAAAGGGATGAAGAATCCAAATGTACAGACTAAAAGTAAGTACCTATTGACAGGAAAATGACCTCAACAATTCTATGGAACGGAAGCTTAGCAAAACAATTACATAGTAACATAAGCCTTCAACTAATGATCAAGAAGGATATACTAATATCAGTATCAAGATGACTAAGAGGAAATTTAAATGTAGTCAGTATCTGCTTAACTCTAACAAAGTATACTAGAAGCTTGTTTTCTAAAAACCATGTTTTGTTTAAAAATACACACACAGACCGGGGATGGTGGTTCATGACTGTAATCCTGGCATTTTGAGAGGCCAAGGTAGGAGGACTCTTGAGTCCAGGAGGATCTCTTGAGACCAGTCTGGGCAACATGACAAAACCCCAACTCTACAAAAAAATAAAAAATTAGCCGGGCATGGTGGTGCATGCATATAGTCCCAGCTACTCAGGAGCCTGAGGTGGGAAGAGGATCACCTGAGCCAGGAGGCAGAGGCTGCTGTGAGCCATGATCATGCCACTGTACTCCAGCCTGGGTGACAGAGTGAGACCCTGTCTCAATGAATGAATGAATAAACAAACAAATAAACACACACACACACATTTTTCCCTGACAGAAAACAAAGTTAATAAAATCTCAATGAATTTAATTATCTGATGGTATCAGATACTATTGTCTTCAGAGTATTCAAATATATGTTTAGAATATAAAATGAAACAACAGATGAGAAAGAATATAAAAAGTTTGATTTGCAGTATTCAAAACAAATTATATATTTACTAGGCTCCAAAGGGATAGGAATAGTTTGAATGCCAGTCATATGGCACCTCTGAGGTATATGCAATAAAGCAACAGATGCAGCTATCCCTCAGTTCTAGCAAGTGTTGAAATATCCCAGAAAGGCTGTGGGTCTTTGACTCCTTACTTTATTTTTTTGAGATGAAGTCTTGCTCTCCCACCCAAGCTGCAGTGCAGTGGCATGATATCAGCTCACCGTAGCCTCCGCCTCCCTGGTTCAAGCGATTCTCCTGCTTTGGCCTCCCTGAGTAGCTGGGATTACAGGCACACGCTACCATGCCCATGTAATTTTTGTATTTTTAGTAGACACGGGGTTTTGCCATGTTGGCCAGGCTGGTCTTGAACTTCTCACCTCAAGTGATCCGCCCTCCTTGGCCTCCCAAAATGCTGGGATTACAGGTGTCCACCACACCTAACCTGTCTCCTTACACTTGAACTGACTCTGGGGCATGCTGAAGTTCTCTTTCCTATAAAAGCTTTCAAGGTAAATATTCCTATAAATGCTTCCTATAAATGCTTTCAAGGTAAATATTTTGAGGCTGAAATTCTATTTTTCAATACTGCTGATTTTTTTTTTTTTTTTTTTGGTCTTTATACCCCCAAGGAGAAAACACCAAAGGACTGAACCTGAAAGTAGTCCTAGACAAGCATCAAAAAAGAACAGATTGAGGCTGGGTGTGGTGGCTCATGCCTGTAATCCCAGCACTTTGGGAGGCTGAAGCAGACAGATCACCTGAGGTCAAGAGTTTGAGACCAACCTGGCCAACATCGTAAAATCCTGTCTCTACTCAAAATACAAAATTAGCTGGGCATGGTGGCACATGTCTATAATCCTGGCTCCTCCGGGAGGCTGAGGCATGAGAATCACTTGAACCCAGGAGGTGGAGGTTGCAGTGAGTCAAAATCACGCCACTGCACTGCAGACTGGGAGACAGAGAGAGACTCTGTCTCCAAAACAAAACAAAACACACACAAAAAAGCAGATTGGGGAGGTAAAGTTTTAATACAAATTATCCTAAAATACAGATGAAACTATATACACAGATTAAGTCACAGAAGTATGCTACAATGAGAGAACACTGAGAAAAGGCTGTCTTTTTTGTTGGATATCCTGTACATCTACTAAGATATCACAAACATCTTGAACAACTGTCAATACTATCAAAATTATAGTAAATCTGGCATAGACACATCGCCTTAAGCTCTACACAGATTTCCCTTGGAAAGCAACACGGTATTAAGTAGCAAGACCTATAAGGATATTCTTATCTTCTGACAAAATATTCTAACCAATTTTTAAAAATCTACCCTAAAGGAGTAACTCAACAAACACACCCCCAAAAATCTTATTCACAAAGGTGGTCACTGCAATGATATTTATCAATAATCTAAATACACTCAATAGTTACAAGCATTTTAACTATAGTTATCAGTTGTGGTACACCAAATCAAAATATTAAAAAGAACCATAAAGGATATTTCTTCTCTTATGCAAGAAGAGATTTCAAGAGACAAAAATAATAGTTTAATACAGTTGTAGTGACTAAAAATATACATACATAGATAACAAGACAAAGAGTGTTACACTTGTAAAACTATTCTGAAATTTTCTTTACATTTTAGGTAATATTTTTATATTAAAAAGAAACCCCCATAAAACCAAATACCCCCCTGAATGCTAGTAAGGATTTTACTGCACAGGGGAAACCTCAAAAAGACTAAACAAATATGGTATGACAAAGAACAAGAAAAATCAAAAGAATTTAAAATTCAGGTTGGCATTAACTAACAGATGTATCACTTCAGGCATGTTATAGGTTTTCTAGATTTCAGAAGTTCTGGTTTAGATGAAAAAGTTTCCTTTCAATAGAAAAATGTTGTTTAAAAAAAAAAAAAACTCAAGAGTTTTTTGCTGAAATACCAATCCTTACTTCTGTTAATTTTATATTCACTTAAAATATAGCTTTCAGCATTGAATTATGGCAGTGATTTGATTTATATACCCACATGTTCTAGAAGGCACTACGTTTAAGAAATGGGTTGACTGACTCTCCATTTGATTAAGTTTTCTCGTAGGGATTATGAGATTTAACTGCAAGGACACTTGTCAAGATAAAATGTTTCTGCTCTCTAACAAAATCTCAATTCAAAACATTTATCTTTCTTATAGAAAGTCTGAAGAAGAATATGTAAACTAAAATCACCAGTAATGTCACCATCCATATAGCTAACTACTACTGCTATAACAGCCTGTCTTGTTTCTCATGCCTGCAGGTGTATATATTTAAATACTATTCAGCTTTAATATGAATGTTATTGATTTTCTTATAAAAACCTGAATCTTCCTGGAATAATTCAGCTCCCAAATCAAAATTGAAGTCAACAGGCAGCACACTATTAACATGAAAATGTTGTCAAGAACATGAAGTATACAGAGATCAACAGCATAAACATCAGAAAGGGACTGTGGCTGGCCTGCATTCCCAGCCACACAAAAGGAAGCACTGGATATTCAGGAAGGATCTACTTAAGATCTTGGGAAATTCTGTAATCAAGCTAATATCCAAAAGCAGGCATTTGGACACGTCCTGCAACCCATCATCAATGCAAAGAGATTAAAATATTAATCCCAATCATAGTGTTCCATTTGGAAAAAGAAAAACATAAACACATAAACACACACAATTTCACCTAGCTCCTTAAATGCCGGCGCTCTCCCTTGAGACAAAATGAACACTTCCTATCCTGCAGTCTAAAAGGCTGCAAACACAGAGGGTAGAGACACATTAACAAACACTTCAGAAATATTAAATCCGCATAATAATTTCAGCTTCATTATTACTACTGCAGTGGTTTACATCATTAGTGTTTTTAGAAAACTAAAGCATGACTCAGATATCTGCTATCCAATAGGCAACTGCAAAAAGGATGAAAGAACTTAAGACTCTACTACCTAGAAAATAGGGATTATCATTGAAACTTCCATTTGAATTTTATTTGATGTTCAGATGAACTCAGGGTTTACGCATCCCACAGCCAGAAAGAAAAGAGTAGAAAAGCTAAAGTGGTAGACAGAGTGCCTCTGTAATCCCCTCCTCTCCAAAGCAGGGCCCTAGGGGATTATCTTTTGGCGTAATCTTACAGTTACAGGTAGCAAGGAGGGTTGCTGAATTGTTTTACCCCTGATTGAAACGGCCAGGTGTACAGCATAAAATTACTAACACAGCAATGAGATTCAAATTTGTTATTCACACAAAGCAGGCATCTGATTCATTACTCCACTTTCTGGGCCAGATCAAGTACGTGTGACAAAGAGGCCTTGAATGAAAAGCTAAGACTAAATAGTTTTTATGGGGGTGGTTTTTTCTAGGGTTTAAGAACCAGTGTCTACTAGATTTGTTTTACCAAAAAGTAGAGAGAGGGTTAAAGGGTAAAAACAGAGAGTCACACACTTAAAAACACACAATGAAATTAAACTCTACCTGCAAGTATGTATGTATTTTTACTTTATTCAATTAATGCCATGTCACACCTGCTTGCAATGTCATTTTTTAAAATGCATCACATTCATTTGGCTAGAAAAGTCAACAGTTCAGTTTTGGTTAGTTATTCCCTTCCCGACAAACATTAAAATGGGAAGAAAATGCTAACTGGGTGACAGGAATTTAACTTTTATTCCTGGTTTAAAATAGTTTTTGACTTTGTATGACTGATTTCATGTCTCAAGCCCACCCAGCCCCCATTTCAATGATACTGAGCATAGTTTTGCTTAAATTCACCAAAATACTGCTGGCCTATAAATAGTATACTAGCCATTTCCATTAG